GCGGATGATACAACTTTGCTTTCTGAAAGTGAGGATGACTTGAGGCACTTACTGATGAAGTTTGAAGAATACAGTTTGCAGTATGGATTATGTCTCAATATAAAGAAAACAAAAATCCTCACAACTAGACCAATGAGTGGCATCACAATAAAAGGAGAGAAGATTGAGGTTGTCAAAGAATTCATGTTGCTTGGTTCTACAATCAATGTCAATGGGAGCAGCAGTCAGGACATTAGACAACATGTAGCACTGGGAAAGTCAACCATGAAGGAACTGTTTCAAGTGCTGAGGAGCAAGGATGTCTCCTTGATGACTAAGGTGCGCCTGACACAAGCCATGATATTTCCAATTGACTCGTATGCATGTGAGAGCTGGACAATGAATAAGGAAGACTGAAAAAGAGTTGATGCTTCTGAGTTGTGCTGGCGAAGAATGCTGAAAGTACCATGAACTGATAAAAGAACTAACAGATCTGTCCTGGAGGAAGTGCACCCGAAATGCTCCTTGGAAGCGAGAATGGCCAGATTTTGTCTCACCTGTTTTGGTCATGTTGTCAGAAGAACCATTCCCTGGAGAAGGATGTCATGCTTGGTAGGGTGGAGGATGGACGAAAGAGGGGGAGGCCATCAACGAGATGGATTGACACGGTGGCTGCGATGATGGGCTCAATTGTAGCAGGGATCGTGGAGCTGGTGCAGGATATGGTAGTGTTTCATTCTGCTGTGCATGGGGTACTATGAGTGGGAAACGACTTGATGGCACCTAACAACAGCAACAACAACACTCTAACAGGTAGGGAGCTATGGTGGCCTAGTGGAGAATGCATTTGGCTGCTAATCAAAGGGTGAGCAGTTCAAACCCAACAGCTGCTTCGTGGCAGAAAGATGGGGCAATCTACTTCAGCAAAGATTTACAGCCTCAGAAACACAATGGGGGTTGCTATGAGTCACAATCGACTTGATGGCAGTGAGCTTTTTTGTTTTGCTTTTACTCTAACAGGTGTGGTCACCGTGAGTCACAATTGGCTCAGGGTCAATTTTATTATTTTTTTTCCTTTTTTTTTTATGGTGATTTGGGTGAAGATTTACAGAGCCAATTCACTTTCCATACAGCAGTTCACGCATACTTTGTCTCATGTCATTGACCACAGTTTACCACAATGCAACAGCTCCCCTCCCACTTCCTCCCCATAGTACCACTTCCCAGTGTCCATCCCTCCATACTCTCCTGCCCCCTGAGCTGTCTCCCTGTGCATAAGCTGCCCTTCCTTCTCCCATGATTGTTCTCTCCAAG